CGGCGCGTGGGGGGGGGGCGGGGAAATTTATCAAAACTTGAACAGATTTGCACTGCAGCCAATCAGCTTCTCTCTTTAATTTTCAATTCTTACCTGGATAAACTAGAGGAGATGCTGATTGGTTGCCATAGGCAACTGCTCCAGATTCTGTTTGCTCCAGATTTGATAAATTCCCTTATATGTCTCTTGGGTTAAATGACACTGGGTTTCATTCAAGCTGGAAGACGGCATACATCTTGTGGCAGAGAAGAGGTACTGCAAGGGACAACACCAATGAGGTAAGTTTGCAGCCAGAGCTGCTTTATTATTTTCATTGCTGTCTTGGGGTTGCATTTATAAAAATTGCCTGGAATTGGGCCTCAAGAGTTAATTGAACCCTAAACATAGCCTAAAGCTGGCCATACACTTATAGATTATCGGCAGATTTTCTATGGTTAGCTGTAGGGATGCACCGATACCAGTTCAGATACTTGGCATTTTCATGAGAACTACGTGGGTTGCAGCTGGGACCTGGCTCTGGCTCTCCACCAATGTCCTGAAATCCTTAGTCGATATTGTTTTAGAAAAACTGTCACATGACAATAAAAAAAATGTATCAGTACTTGTACTTGGGGGGGAAAAAAAAAAAATGGTATTGGTGCTGCCTTGTATACATTTATAAACACAAAATCATACATTAAAACAGATGTACAAATCCCAGGTGCTCCTTACAAATGGCAGGTGTCTCCTAACTTTTGAATTTGTCTCTAGTGTAGTCTTGGAGCTCAAAAAGTATCTGTACCTGTACCGAGTACGGTACTTGGTATCCATGCATCCCTAGCTAGATGGAAAAAATGCAAGATTCCTCCATCTACGCTAACCCGTGTGGATGGAGGAATCTTCCGCTGAGCCAAGCTTCAGTATCTCCCCAATTGGCCCCGCTGGCTGTCAAAATACCTGAACAATGCCTGCATCCAATCAGATTGTGCAGGTATGTTGACAGCCAGCGGGGGCAATTAGCGAGATACTGAAGCTTGGCCCAGTGGGAGATTCCTCCATCCACACAGTTTAACGTGGATGGAGGAATCGGTTGCACTTTTTCCATCTGACCATAGAAAATCTATTAGGTGTATGGCTAGCTTAGCACTAACCCTTTAAAGTCTAACCATAACCACTAACAAGTTATACTGTTCTTTTTCATACCAGCTGAAAGCAGGAGCCTTTACTGTTTACCATACAGCGGCTCCAGTCCAGGAGCGACCAACAAGGTAAATGAACAGAAAACCCCAATATAGGACTGAAGGGGAGGCTACACCTGATGTAGAATTTCCCAGAGACCTGCAGTGTGTGAGGAGATCTGTCACACTAGCATCAAGGAAGAGTGAAAGTGTAATCCTGCATAGCATTGCTGAGTATGGAGGAACATCTCCTCCAGCTGTTCTGCATTTGGGGTGATGCCTTTCCTAAAGGATCTGATGGCCTCTGCCAAGAGCATTACCTTATCCCTATGCAATCCCAAAAAAAGGGGGACCTACAATGACACTCACCAACTCAGGCACCCTACGCGCAGAGGTTCTATCCACCAAAAAGGAAACCTTTGGGTCAGCCAAGGAAGATTACAAAATAGGAGGCTTCTGCAGAGCAGAAAGCACCAAATTCAGATCCAACGGCATCACTGAAGGACATACTGAGGAACATGTTACTCCCTGAACAAATATTCGCCTCAAGAATTGATTAGCCAATGGTCGCTGAAAAAGAATAGCCAGAGCCTGGAGGCTCTGTTGGCAACCAGCAGCAAGTGATTTTGAATGGCACCCCAAAACCCTAACAGCAGGCAACACACGGACACTGTAGCACTTTTCTTTTTAATGTAGCACACCATTATTTGTTTGTATGCAGCGCAGCTAACGCACAGTAGCATGCTACATTAATACATGGTGTTAACAAAGAGCACCTACAAGTGTTTGCCATCGCGAGGTCTCATGTCATCACAGCACACAATTTCTATAGCACACAGTTTGTATTATTTCACAATGACTTCTCTAGCTCAATACAACCTTAATAAAATGGCACAGACACAAATACAGATGGTTTTATGGGTTTTATTACACGAGCTAGGCCAAATAAAAAATATACAAAGAACAAAATACTAGAACTTGTCCATTAAGACGAAGGCAAAGTTTAGAGTTGTTGCTGTTGTCTGAACCGGGGAAGTCTAGCTGCCACTGAAATTGAAACAAAAGATTTTCAATTTAATATATTTAAGAGGAAATGTAATTTACCATTAAA